TGGGAAGTAGTCTCTTCTTATGAACAGGATCTGTCTCCAGGTAGACATGGTTCAGAGTCCTTAGCAGGGGCCAGCAGAGCTTGATAGGTGTGTAATACAGCCCATGCAATGAAGCTTGTCCAGGATGTTGTGTGGAGAGGTGCAACAGTGACACCTGTTGAAGTCTAAAGGGAACAGTCAAATCTGACTTAGAAAATGAAGGAGGAAAATATATCTGGTGATGGTACCACATGACATCCACGAGTTAAGCACTGTGGAAAGGTTACCTTTGAATGTAAACTGCCTGATGGTGTCAGGAATGAGATTCAACGTGCGTGCTTAGGAAGGGTATTGCCCAGCGTTTTCTCCCTTGCTCGAACGCCAGGCAATTGCTCTTCCCTGCTTAAACTGACAGTGGAGGTGGGGCCTGAGGACGTCACGAATGTTGAGGCGGAACCCTGGGCTGATCCCTGAGGGTCAAACAGGTGAGTTCATTACATACTAGTATTCTTGGGGCATCTTTGAGTGTAACTGTTTGATTCAAATCCTCACTAATAGGTCCACTTGCCATGGACCCTTTGACCCCTTTTTCCTGGCACGTAGCAGTTTTTCCCCATATACCCCTTTGGGGTTTGTGGGGTTGTCTGAGAAAATCCCTTTTTGCATGGTCCCTTCTCATGCATACTCAGTACTTTTTTGGTTTCTCCCTCTGAGTTAGGGAGTCTGGAATTTGGTCTCATCAGACCAAAAATTCCTGTACAATCTTTGCCAGACTCTGACCAGGGAGGAGTCCCCGTCCCCCCCCGCCCCCCATACTACCCTTCGGTAGTAAATGTTTTACTCCTACTACTTACCCTACTTGTCTTACTGCCTCAGTCTGGTTCTCTGGAACAGACAGTCCCCAAGTTCTCAGGGAATCCCCTTGTTTGTAAGTCTTTTGATCTGACCGCCACTGGACTACATTTCTGTAAAGTTTTGGGATCTCCCCTGTTGCAGCCTGGGCAACTTACTCCTTGTGCCAAACAGTGTTGAGTGAGTCTTTTGTTACCATGCTGTTTTTCCTGGAGTCAAAACATTATCTTTTGGTTTCCCTTTTTCTTATCCTCCCCATTTAAGAGTGAGCGTTATGCACAGGAGTGCACCTTCTTCCTTGTTAGGGAGTATCCATCGTGGGAAGATTCTGTACTACCTCGGAGGGTCAGAATTTTATGGTTATTCTACTAAACAGGCCCGTCCCTATTCTCGTTTTGGACTGTAGTTGCATAATGTGATCAGCTACAGTTGGTCATGTACCAGCCATGCGGGCTGAATTTATAAGAAAAAAGCTGTCCATTCAGTATACAGTTTGTCCACATTCTAAGCTTTTTCCAGGTACCCTACAAAGGGAGACCTGTTATGCTGTTGGAACTGCCTTACCAGAGCCAGTGAGCTTGCTGGGAGATTTGAATGAGCATTGAGATTCCACCTTCTCTTAGATATTTAGATCTGAAAGCAAGGTTAAAAATCACACCCACGTCTTAAACTTTGTGGTGCAGCAATTTATATCTAAATACCCTGAATTTTATGGCAAGACAGGAGGCTTCATATTTTGCATAACTCTCTTTACTGACTCCCCATAGCAGCAAAGAAAAACCTAACATAAAGCTGATTAATCAATAGCAGCACACATCATGTTGTTAAGTCTGCCCACACAGACTTTTCTTTGCTGCTCCTCATGGCAAGGTCAGTGACTCGTACACCTCATATTCCCTTGTATTCTCATTGCAACCTGTTTTCTTGTGATTCTGTTCTGGATCCTTCGCTGTGCATCTGTTTTTCCCCCTAAAGCTGCACCCCCACCTAACCCCCTCCTCTTCTTACAATTAGTACCTGGTGGCCTGTCCTACCTTTCTCTGCGTATGGGAATTTTTCTCTGTTTGCACCTTTTTTCTTCCTGGTGGCCATTTTTCTGTGGTCACCTCCATCAGCTGTGGCCGCTAATTTCTTGTAGCCATGGTCTGATCAGGAGGCGGCAGCCTTTTCTGCTTCCACAATCTTTAGCCCCGCCTCCACCGCCATTTTCATGTGGCCCTTTTTCAGTAATGCAGTCATTTTGTTGAAGCAGCGTGCCTCATACAACACTTCCTGCTTCTGTCATGGATTTTTTTCCTACAATCTCCTGCCCGAACACACCTCCCTGGATCTGGGTGAGCCCCAGCATTACACAGACTTTGCCTGTACTAAAGTCTTTGTGGGTGAGCCCCACCTATCACCTGTGCCTTGTTTTCCCCCTGTGCCTTTTATCCCTGGGTGAGCCCCAGCATTTTGTGCCTTTCTGTTTAGTGGATGAGCCCAACTATCATCCTCCCTTTGACTTTATTACTGATAAGTCAGTCTCACCTATCATGGCGGACCTGGATTCAGGTGGCCGTTAGAGAAGTGCTGGCTACTGCCTTACCTCCCACTATTGCCTCCGAACCCCCTCAGGCCCACATCGCCCATTCCTCCGATGCGGAGTCTGATGACTCGTTTATTTCCCAAGCTTCTGGGGGCTCTCGTAGTGCGAGCAAACGCCCCTGAAAGGGGTCCAGTAAATCTGTGCACCAAGGCAAGGGCTTTGCTGAACAAGCTAAATGCACATTAGTCCCTGCCTCGGCAGGATGATCATCTCAAGCTTCCCCCTCGGGGGAGGCGCATCGCAACTCCTCTCAGGAGGACTAGGAAACCCAGTCACCTTTTGGGTAATGACACGGATGAGCCCTGCAGTCTCAAAGCTGCTGTTGCCCAGCAATGCATGGACTCAGCGGATGCCGATTTGGTGCTTGACCCTACTAGGGAAGCACTCTTTGATCCTAGGTTTATTCGTCACCCTAGATCATCCAAGTGGACTACTCCGGATCACATTGCCAGATGCCTGCAGGTCTGGCTACGTAAACCTTTAGGCAAGGAGGTACGTAACCGCCTTTGGGCTGAATGCTTTTGACCCGTTTTCCCGGGCAAGGTTTCTACTAGACCCGATTTTTACCAGTTCACGGTCACCTACATGAATAAGAAGGGTCGTGACCCCAGAAGGGGTGTAGAGAAGGGCTTAAAGGCTGCACAAGACAAACTGCTTGATGTCTCTGGGCCCATGACGCAGGTCTTTGTCCTTGCGGTTGAGGCTCTGGCACAAGGCACTCCCTTGGATCCTCGTTTAATTCTGGTTTTGATCCAACGGTCTGCCTGCTGGGCAATGCAAATGCTGCTCTCTCCACTGACCGCCGCAAGGCTGTGCTGCTACGTATCGATGCCCGCCTGTCTGATATGGTAGAGAAGGAATTGGGTGCTAAAGCTGATGGCAAACTCTTTGGAGAGCTCTTCATCACTGAACTCAGAAAACATGCCGGCTCCGTCCCTTGACAAGGTGAAGAATTCCTTCAAGAGTTTTTCAGCATCCTGGCGTTTTTCACAGGGCTGGTCAGCAAAGGGGCTGTGCCACCAGCTGTGGCTCCTTTCTAGGCTCCCGAGGCTTCCCAAGACCTCTTCCTACTTTTCAACCCAGAGGGCACCTTTTCCTTCAGCCAGAGGATTCTTTCATGGCAGGGCCACACTACCCGTGGCAGAGGAAAATAACCTACCGTAAGTCCTCTTCGCTTACTTTCTTCCCTCTTCCTGTAGCTGGCCAGCTCGCCCTTTTTTTCCCAATGCTTGCGTCTCATCACTTCCGACAGCTGGGTCATCCAGACATTGGAGGGTGTCATAATCAAATTCGGGTCTCATCTGCTCTCCAGGTTCACCCTCCCAGGCACCCCTTTTCTGCAACTAAGAGGCTCAGCGACTTATTCACATAGAACTGTGCAAGCTAAGAACAAAGCGGGCGATTCAGCCAGCTCCAGATTCCTCCGGTTTTATCAGGAACATCTTCCTGGTGCGCAAGAAGACTGGGGAATTTCGCCCAGTGATCAATCTCTGGGCCTTGAACCACCATGTAATTTATCATCATTTTCAAGATGAAAGGAATCCATCTTCTCAGGCATCTGCTTCTGGACCGGGACTGGTTCACTCGCTTGGATCTGAAAGACACCTTTTATCTTATGGTCCCGGTACACCCAGCTTCCAGGTGTTTTCTCCGCTTTCACTGGCAGTCCCGTCTCAGTCCCTTTTGGTCTGAGCTCCACCAGCTGGTGCTTCACAAAGCTGCTGAAACCTGTGATTGCATTTTTCTGCTCCCAGGGTATAAGAGCTATCGTCTATCTGGAGGATATTCTTCTTTTCAATGCCAACCCAGACAGACGGCAAGTTCAAACCACTTGGGTGATCCTTTGGTTGCAGGATTTGGGTTTCATTAACTTTCAGAAGTCCTCCATCACACCATCCCAGCGAGTGCAGTTTCTCCCTTTCGAGATAGATTCGGTCGACTCCTTGCTCCGGCTTCCCACTGTCAAAATTGCCGGCATCAAGAGGGTACTCTGGAACGCACTTCATCAGACTCGTATCTCCCTGCGGTCCTTGGCCAGGATTGCGGGTCTCCTTTCTTCCTCCATTCAGGCCATTTTTCCAGGGCATCTTTATTACCAAGTAATGCAGCGAATGAAGACGCAGTATCTTCGGATCAAGCCGTCTTACAATCAACTGGTCCCTGTGGCAGACAACGTCCGCATCGAACTGACATGGTGGCTTCGACACATGGAAGCTTGGAATGGGACAGCCGATCTTCTGTACCCAGCTAGATTTTGTTCTGGAATCCGCCGCCAGTCTGTGGGGATGGGGTGCGACCCTTGCGGACTTGGGGTCGTAGACCCCAGACGAACGTTTCATACACATCAATAGTGATGGGCTCGATGTTCAAGCCGATTGTCAGTTCGACTCGAACATCGGCAGTTCGTGTGTTCGCAAACACACGAACTGTCAGGGTGTTTGGCGGTGCCTTGTGAGCCCTGAAAGCCGTGCACCTGCTAGCTCCGCTCAATTGTTTTGTGGGCAACTGTCAAAATGCCATTCTGCGGCAGGTGTTTTTGTTATTTTCTATTTTTTACTTTGTTTTTTTATTTAGTCTCGTCGTCATGGATGGCGCTGGATTAGGTTGGTGGATCCATCTTTCGGGGTTTTTTTTTTTTAAATGAGACTTGTCAAAAACTTTTGTCTTTTGGGTTTTTTTTTTTTTTCAAATAAAGGAGTCTGGCCTCCCTTTTTTATTTATTTAGTTTTACAATTTTATTTAACCCTCTAGTGAATGGGTAGGGGCACAAGTACCCCTTATTCACAAGGGGAGGGGCCGCATCTGGGTGCCCCTTTATTAAATATACCCTGATGTGAATAAGCCCCCTGCCCGCACCCCCACAACAAATGCCCCAGGGCTTGTGGGGAAGAGCCAGTGTCCCCATCGGCACGTAGACGAGGTGCTTTTCTACGGGCGACCCTTGATAAGCCCCCCCCCCCGTGCTGAGGGCATGTGGCCTGGTATTGCACCGAGGGGGACCGCCCCCCCTTTTCTGCCCAGCCAGGTCTATGCTCAGATCAATGGTCAGGTTGGGAATTTTAGGGGGGACCGGGGACCCAATGGTTTCCCCCCATGGGGTTGGGGTTCCTCCTTGAAATTCCTACCAGACTTTAAGGGCCTGATTTGACTTTTGGGGGAAACCCCACACTTTTTTTTTTTCTTCTTTACATATGTCATTTTTGCTGCAGCAGGTTCTATACATTGTACAGATGTGCCACTTTACAGGCAGTTTAAGGCACGATATTTAAAGGAATTTATAATTTTTATTGTTTCACTTTGTGATGGCAAAATCAATGCCCCTTTAAAAAGAAATCCCCATACCCTTTTTATGGCCAATAAATTGCATATAAGGCTTCAAAATGAGGACATTTGATATCTAAAGTTCTACCCCCATAGACTTGCATTGAGTTTGAATTTGAACTTTTCACATGTTCGAAAGTTTAAATTCGAACCGAACAGGGGGGTGTTCGGCCCATGACTTCACATCAACAGCTTGGAACTTCGCTGTCCTCCAACTGTTCTATCTTACATGCTTATGGACAACGTGTCCGCAGTACGATATGTCAATCATTTGGGCATCTGTCTACCCTGAGAAGGGACCTTTTACCATTTTTGCTTCGACAGGCGCATCTCTCTTTCTGCCAAATATCTACCGGGTGTGGACAATTTCACGGCGGATTGGTTCTCCTGGTTTTGGAGGGGATGCCAGCGACTGGATGCTGACCAGAGAAGGTTTTGCTCTTCTCCTCGCGGCCCATGGACCCTGCACACTGGACCTGTTTTCCTCCCATTGGAATAATCAACTACCACGGTACTTCAATTGGCTTCCCGATCTGGACTCATTGGCCTCAGATGTGGCCACAGACGAGGGGGTTTGCCTTCCCTCCCTTTTAGATGATTTCCCGTCTGATTCATCAGGTCCGCCTTCAATGGGTGAGCCTCCTTCTCGTCACTCCACTCTGGCAAACTCAGCCTTGGTTTCCCATTCTGCTGGAGCTGTCGTGCACGGACCCTCCCCTCCTTTCCTGGGGCCATCTTCTCCTACAAGACTTGGAAGGGAGCCCTCACCAGTGCTTTTAGGAATGTCTTCTTCTTGTAGATTGGGAGATTTCTGGGGTTCCTGGAATCTGTCGGGCTTATCACCTACAGCTTGCTCCGAGAGTCTTGGGCTCTGGGTACCCAACGTGGCTATTGTTCTGCCTGGAACAGATGGGATGATTGGTGTCTGGCTAGGCAAATTGATCTATTTACTGCTCCTGTGATGGATGTGAACAATTTTTTTTATTGGTTCTTTTTGCTGAGGGCAAATCCTACCACACGGTCAATGTCTTCCGCTTAGCTATCTCTGCGGGCCACATCCTCGTGGCTGGTTTGCCGATTGGCAGACCATCCCTTACTCTGTCAACTCCTTCGAGGCATCCATCTGTCTCGGCCTTCTGCTCCTCATTATACCCATCTTTGTGATGTTTCGGGGGTCCTGGACTTCTTGCGTGCCTGGCTGGACAATGACTGTCTTTGAAACAATTGTCGGCAAAGTTGACGGCTTTGCTTTGTCTGGTCTGTTTTCATTTGGTCTGTTTTCATTAAGTGTCTGACATCAGGGCTTTTGATCATGAAGCTTTGTCCTTTACAACGGATGGAGTCTCTTTTTCTCTTTCTTGCTGGACGAAGACTATCGTCTTCTATCCCTGCTTACCTGCAGAACCGTCCTTATGTGTTGTCCGTTGTCTTCATCCGTTTCCTCTTCATATCCTCATGGAAATGGCTGCCTCTGTTCTCTGCTAGCAATCTGTGTATATTGCAACTGAGCTCTCCACCCCGTGTTACACAGAATCACTGGGAGGGGGCAGCTGTTTACAACCTGCTTTTACAATCCAACCCCAGTGTCATACTGAGTTTCCTGTGGACAAAATTTTCAATTTGTAGGATTAAGGCCTAATAAGTTCATAAAAATTAAGAAAGCCAGCAATGTGAGTCATGAAAATTTGCACTTGTATACATCATCACTGCACCTCTACATTACCACAATAAATGTTAATCACTTATAAAGGTGGAAATGGACTTCAGAGCTACATCAAAAGGACCCTCTCCCTGCTGTATGGTATTGTTAAAAATGTTTTTTCCCATTGGTACTAGGGATGTCCAGATACCAGTGCCCAGTGGCGTCACAAGGGGGGTGCGGCCTGCAGCCGGGTGACACCATTGGAGGGGTGACATCAAAATGACTCAGTCATTTTGGTGTCACCCCCCTCTGAAAAGTCGGGCAACAGTATCAGGAGAGAGGAGGGGACCCGGCGGCATACCTTATCCCGCCTGGTGACTGTCCCCTCCTCTCTCTGCCAGCGTCCATCAAGATGGCCTCCGGCGGTTATCAGATTACTGCCGCGCGTGCGCAGTGACTTCTCGCTCCAGTGCCGATACTTGTCATTTTCATGAGAACTACCAGGGTTGCAGCGGTGAACCTAGCTCTGACGCTCCACCACTGTCCTGAAATCATTAGTCTGTATTGTTTTAGAAAAACTGTCTCATGACAAACAAAAACGTATCAGTACTTGGGCAAGTACTTGTACTTGCAAAAATGGTAATGGTGCATCCTTTTTATATATAGTTATAAAAACAGATGTACAAATCCCAGCAGGTCTGTGTGCTCCTTACAAATGACAGCTGCCTCCTAACTTTTGAAATTTTCTCTAGTCTTGGAGCTCAAAGTATCTGTCCTTGTACTTGTACAGAGTACTGTACTTGGTATCGGTGCAGCCCTAATTGGTACAAGTCCCCCATGGCTGTGCGTAGCTTCTCATGCCCTTCTCTTTTTATAACTTGCCTACCAGCTTTAAAAATATCCAGAATTTATTAAAAGAATGTGTTCCCATAGAATTTAATTCATTACTAGATTCACATTCGCCATAATTGTAAAGGATTTACTGAACCCTTTTAAATTGCCCCAGGGCAGATTCACTCATCCATAGTTTTGTAAACTGTTTTTACTGGAACAGAAAAATGGTGGCAAATACAACATTTTACAGTTGTCACTGGAACAGGCCGTAAGGAGTAATCTACCCCTTAGGATACCCCAGTCCTCCCCAAACCTCTAGATCCTTGGTTCTCAACTGGTGGGTCGCGACCAAAAAGTGGGTCGCGACCCCGTGTTCAGTGGGTCCCCCGTGCGCCTTTCACTTTTCTAGGTGAGAAGCTCCTCAGCCTCCCCCTAGTGCAGCACTGTCAGTTCTTGCGCCAAGCAGCCATTCAAAATATGCTGCCCGGTGCCGAGTGTCAGCTTGAGGTGGGGTGGGGTGGGCTCCATCCATATGTGCATTGCTTACAGCTCCCTCGCAAGTCCTGTAGAGGTGCACTGTACTTCGCAATCGCACCTACCACACATTTTGGTGTGATAAAGTGGGTCGCGACCCCGTGTTCAGTGGGTCCCCCGTGCGCCTTTCACTTTTCTAGGTGAGAAGCTCCTCAGCCTCCCCCTAGTGCAGCACTGTCAGTTCTTGCGCCAAGCAGCCATTCAAAATATGCTGCCCGGTGCCGAGTGTCAGCTTGAGGTGGGGTGGGGTGGGCTCCATCCATATGTGCATTGCTTACAGCTCCCTCGCAAGTCCTGTAGAGGTGCACTGTACTTCGCAATCGCACCTACCACACATTTTGGTGTGAGAAGTGCATTGCATTGCCATTCATTTGAATGGCACACCAAATGCACCTCCTACCCACAGTTCTATTGGCCCCATAGGAATGTACAGTACCGCAATGCTGTGCGTTCCATTGCAGTGCAACTTGGGTCACGACTTAATGACCAAGGACAAATGTGGGTCCTGAGGTTATACAGGTTGAGAACCACTGCTCTAGATCAGCCTTTCTCAACCAGGGTGCCATAGCAGGACTCTGGTAGGTAGGATGTTAGGACTCTGATGTGAAGAAGGCTTCTGATGTGAAGGGAGAATTCTGATGTGAAAGGGGTGTTTTATGTACTGTTGGCAAATTATTTCAATCCTGTATAACAATAATACAGATAGCAAAACAAACAAAAATCTGACAGTGTTAGGGTTAGTTCACTCCAGAAACTGCATCACAACTGCGTGCGTCTGCACAGTTGCATTACGATCCAGTTTTATGCATTTTGACGCGTTTTTTAAAATTCTTTATTATACACCAGTATTAACATACATTCCACTGAAAAAAGGAAATAAGGCATCTGCCTTACTCATACCATTTTTACGCGTTTTAATGCAGTTTCTTATGCGTTCGGATGCGTTTTTTTCCCCCCTAAATGATGCCACAATCCTGGGTTTTTTTGTATGCGTTCCGGTGCAGTTTGATGCGTTCCGGTGCAGTTAGATGCAGCTAAAATACCAGCAGTACTTTTTCAGGCTGCATCTGAAAGGACTGCAATGGTGTGAATACAGCACAAGAATTGCATTGTGATGTATTTTGGCTGCAGCAGTCAAACTGAACGGACTTCATCACAACTGCATATGGTGTCAACTAGCCCTGAATCATTCCATACTCTATCCAAAAATGCTAGTGGAATACGCCATTAGCCATTAACCACCTCTCGACGGCCGGACAGGAGTCGCCTGGATGCGGGTGGGCGTCTTTAGACGTCCTTCGTGCTCTCGCCCGCTCGCACGTGCCCCCTGGCGTGCACAAGCGGGAAACCGCCTGGATTTCCCGGGCGTCCATCCATCCCTGGCGATGTGGCTCTGTGCAATGAGAACTGAGGGGGATCAGTACCCGATCTCCCTTCGCTCTCCTCCCATTCTCAGAATGCAGGAAGTGATGTATATTACATCACTTCCGCATTTCTCTGTCACTCTCCGGTACAGAAACCAGAGAGAAGCTGATGAAGCAGATCTGTGCTTTATCAGCTTCTCTGGGGGTCCCTAGGTGACATTAAGGGGTCTTAGAGACCTCCTGCTGTCTCCATAAAGGGGACCTGTAACTGTAATTTGCTATCACCCTATGTGATAAAGTTAAGTGTAAAAAAAAAAAAAAAATTGCTCACAAAATAAATATAAAAATGTACACACACAAAACCCACAATTTTTATCAAGTCCCCCACCCCCACATAGATGCGCAAAATGCGTTAGAGGCACGCACATGCAAAAACGACGATTGCTCCAATTATGCTGCACGTGTTACATATTGCCGCGAATGTCGCAATGAGAGCAATAATTCTCGGGCCATCAATCACTGATAACACTAAACTGATGAGCGGTAAAATCTTTTAAAGCGTCGCCTATGGCCAATTTTAAGGCTTGACATGTTTGGTGTCTATTTACCCGACGTGACCCCCACCTTTTTTAAATTTTACCAAAAAATTGACTAAAAATTAATGTTTCCTAAAATAATAAAGGGAAAACCATTTTAAAAAAAAATATTCTGTACTTTTTTTTTTGTTATATAGTAAAAAATAAAAACCCCAGTGGTGATTAAATACCACCAAAAGTGAGACCGTGCAGAGCACTGGTGATACCATGCATAGCCCTGGCGAGACCGCACATAGCCCTGGTGAGATTGTGCACAGTTCTGGTGAAACCCCACACATCCTCCTAAGACCGCACACTGCCCTGGTCAGACCCTGCGCAGCCTCCTGAAACCCCTCACAGCCCTGGTGAGACCCCACAGAGCCCTGGTGAGCAACACAGTGTATGTAGCTTTATATTATTCTGCATTGCTGTATATTGTATTGCTGGGATTTGTAGTCCTCTATTGCTGTTGGTATTCTGCACTGCTGTATATTGTTTTGCTGGGATTTGTAGTCCTCTATAACTGGTGGTATTCTCTACTGCTGTACAATATATTGCTGAGATTTGCAGTTAGTGGCTGAACTACCGGGGTCGCAGTGGTTGCAGCTCCGACCAGGCCCTGGCACTCCACCACTGCCCTAAAATCGTTAGTCTGTATTGTATTAGAAAAACTGTCACATGACACTAAAAAAAGGTAATGACAAACAGTGGGCCTTGGCAGGGGTGGGGCAGGTCAGGGGGGCCCAAGAAAATGTTTACCCAGCCCCCCCCCCCCCCTTCTGCCCTTTCCCTCCTAGCCCACACAGAGGTACCCCAAAGTGGTCCCGCCCCCTGGGCGCACCAGGCCCTGCCAGCGCCACTTTAACACAGCCACCTCTCGTGGTTTAACAGTGGCAGCTGGGCGGGGCCTGTTTTGAGATGCTCAA